TATTTCTGATTGTTGTACTTCCTGATTCATATATACTATCTCCTCATAATCTTCTTTTGACAAGGATGTCTTTAATTCATAAATACTACTACATTCACTACTTAGATCTTCAAAATATTCAATTGGTTCTATGTCACTATCTTCTTGGAATTTTTCATAAATTCTAAGAGTTTTTATATTCTGTCTATCTTTCTTTTTAGAACATTGAGGGGCAATGTGTCCTTCTTCATTACAAATAAAATATCTAAATTTTTTAATATTTCTTGGTTTAAATTTTTTATTCCAATTTCTTTTCTTGAAATATTTTTTATGTGGTTTAAAATTCCTCTTTTTGAATTTTTTATAGTTTTTGAATTTTCTTTTATATTTCTTATATGCTTTATACTTCTTCTTATGGCATCCAAATTGTTCAATTTGGTCATTATCTTTGTAACAACATAATGAATTCTTTCTTATTTTATAAGCTTTTTTATTTTCTAAAACTTCTCTACACCATATGCTTATCATTCTTTTTGTAAATTCAATTCTAATTCCAAAACTATCTATTTTTACTCCTTCCTCTTCTCCTAGAGGTAATAATTTTTCATATTCTTTTAATAACTTAATTCCCCATGGGAATGATAACTTGGTAAAATAAGATCTTAATATAAGTTTATTTTCTTGATAATCTCCTTGGTTTAATATACAGTATATTTCTTCAAATTTACAAGTGTATCTTTCTAATTCACACATATCACATATCTTTAAATTTTCCATTGCTATCATTCCTTGATTATATTCATCTTGTTTTCTTTCTTCATCATTAGAAGTATACCTATTACTTAAGAATTCTGTTCTTAAGATTTTTTCAAATCTTTTTAATATTTCCTGAATATTTTGTTCGTTTAAAGAATTTCTATTATCTAATACTTCAGTTCTACATGCTCAATACTTTATTCTTCCTTTAATAGTTTCTGGTAATTTTCTCCACCATTCAGAAACAATTCGTCTGAATGTATATTCTATAAATCCAAAAACTGTATATGTTTTCCATTTATTAAATTGTATTTCTAAATCTGTGCTTTTCATCCATGTTTCAATAGCTTTATTTTTATCTACACAGTCTAAATCTAACCATATCCCAGTTGTATGAATTGGTTCATTATAAGATTTCATTGGGTTTATTTCTTTTATGGACTGTTTTCTTATATTTCCAGTATATCTTTTCTGTGTTTTTCTATATTGGTTAATATCAGCCTTATTAGGTATTGGGGTACCATAAGGATAATCAGTTTCTTCATCACTACTAAATTCTACTTTTATATTCTGACTTGAAGATGGATTAGTATTCATTTTTGTATTTTCCATTTTTTCGGTTAATTCTTCTAACTGTTTTTTATATTCTTCATACTCTTATCCTGTAGATTCTAAGAATTTTTGTTCTATTTCTTCTACATCTGTAATCATATATTGTTTTTCTTCATGTTTTTTCCCTTTATTATTTTCCGTTTGTGTTATCCTAAAATCTTGAGGTGGATTAATTATAATCCTATCTTTTCCTTTAAGATTTTTATCTAAAAGAGCGTTTCCTACTTGTAGATTATATTCTAGATTTTCTAGGCTTTTATGTATATCTCCAAAACTTTCATTTGTAGAGTCTTTAGGTAAATAGGGATAACTAGGTTTTTTATGTTATTCAACTTTTTTCAAAAATTCTTCAATTATATTTTCTTCATCTACTATATTCATCATTATTTTTGGTTCGTAATATGACTCTGATACCATCTCGTCAGAGCGTACAGCGGAGGGGTTAAGATTTTTAAGCCAATTTAAGTTTTCATAAGTATTTAAAATATCACAATAGAATTTATAAAATTCACTATTTTTTATTAATACTTTTTCTTCAATAATTATATTTAGTTCTTTAATTCTTCTTCTTAGGTTAAGAATTAGCTTATATATATCATTTTCTATTTTGATTGTACTATTATCTATAGAAACATTTTTATTTTTTAATTTTTGATCTAAATATTCTGTAAAGAATCCTTTCAGATCTTCTTCTAAATAATTTAATTCATTTTCTGTTGCGTTTTTTATGTCAATAAAATTTTGTATAATATTTGGGGTTAAATTTATTAAAGATTTTAGATCTATATTTCTTTGAGGACCTAATTGAAGGTTTTTATACATTATAATGGCTTCGGTTGCAATTTCACAATAAGGGGTATTTTTGGAAAGATAATTGTTTAAAGGCTATTCTTCAAATATTTATATTTTTTGATCTAATCTTACAAAACTACCTTCTATTTAGGCTATCTAGAGATATTTCTTCAAGATTCAGTCTATAAAACTAACTGGAATGAAATTTCTTAAGATTTAGGGGCTCTATCAAAATTTGAGGCTTAGGTGACCCATTTCTCTTAAAATAATGTTATTTGTATCTATTAGAGATTATCACAAGTACTGCATGTGGCAGATAATATACTGTAAAATGATAATAACAATTAAATATGTAGATTTGTGATCACTTTATTAGTTTTATAATGTGATGTCATATCATATGCCTCCAACAAAGACAAATAACATCTCTCTCTGTCTCTCTCTTAATTCAATCTCCTATCAATGAAACAAGGCACCTATGCTTGGGAAAGGGCTAAAAACTTTTCCGAGGATTCCCAAATCTCGAATTTGATGCTCAAGACTGGTTCAGTCACTTGTCTAGATTGAATTCAAAAAATTAAAATAAATAAATGAAAATAAAAAAAATCTTTATCTAATCCAAAAAAATTGTAATTTGTATATACATTTGTATAACGATCAATAAATATTGATCCCTTCTTACCATTACATGGTTAAAAAATGGAAATGGTGTTTCAATTTATCCTGCGACCTGCATAAACTTTCTTTAGAGAGCTTTTTGCTTAAAAATGGACATTAATACTTGTTGAATATATATATATATAGCCATTGGGCTAAGTCTCTATGAAGAGCCACTCACATATTTATTTATAGTTCGCCTTCCAATACAAGTCTTTCGTCTCTCTCAGGGAGGCATTAGAGTGGGTTGATAACAGCCCCCAGGGCACATCTCCAAAAGGAGAGGGTGGAGAAATCCAATTTTGCTTGAGGCTGGGCGTCAAGGGTTCGAATCCTGAAATATGGATTTAGCTCTTGGGTAAGTGCAAGTGTATAAGCAGCCTTCCACCTTGTACCCTTGGAGGCATAATCTACGATTTACCTCCCTCACGATACTCTAGGGCAGGGGCGATGGGGGACCTTTAAGACTGGGGTTCAACCTTTTTTTAGAGTGGGTTGATAACAACTTATTGCAGATCAGTGAAAATCCAATTGTGTACGCTCAGGAGGCTAAACGCCCCTTTCAAATCGTTTTGCTTATCTGACACACATGGATTTGGAGTTGATATGTGACCACGCAATTTCAATTTGCTATTGTTGTTGCATAAATATGTTTTTATACTTGGCATTAAGTTCACTAACCTAAGATGGTTGGTGGTGCATTGTTGCAAAGAAGATGAGAAAGTAGGTCCCCCAACATGTGTAGCCATCGCAACATTTAGTTAAAATTTTGACTTGAATTAAAGAAAAAGAAAGTGAAGCAAGGTATCATATTTGATGGATAAGGTTATAAAATTATTAATTGAGGCACCTGTAAAGAATTGTGAAGATAGATATTGAGGCGAACCATGATATAGAGAATTTAGGTCATGGTGTAGATTGTTGGATTTGAAATAAAAGAAAATCATGGGCTAAGGAAATGAACCTTTGAAGTTGAGGGACCATGTTTTAAATTAGAACAAAGCCATTAATAATCATATCTCCAGCTATATATTAACAGTTGGAGTAATGATATTTAGTTCCACTGAAATTATAACTTCAATTTAGGTAGCTGTAGATTACAAGTTGAATGAAACATGGAATTAAATGAGTCATATAATTCCATCTATGATTTAATGTCACATTAGAGTCACCTAACCTGAGGTTTCATTCCCAGTGGGATTATATAGTGTTACTTTAATCTCAATAATTAAGAATTTAGAAATTTGCAACTCGGGCAGGATGTGTGATAATTGCAATGGAATGCGGACGGTAAGAAAATGAAATTTGACTGTCGTGGTTAGCCAACTAACAAAGAAAGCAAGAGAAAATTGAGACGAGAGAAACTAGAAGAAGAAATTGTACATGAAAACTTTATGGTTTGGCGTAGGAAGAAATTGTGAAAATGAAAAGAAAAAAGAAATTATTGTGTGGCTTTTTATATTAATGAAAGTGTTGATAATCCTTTGCATGGGGTACTACCATATTGTAAATTTGCAGTAGTAGTACCCCAAAGAGAGTTAGACGTTCCAATTTTAAACTTTAATTTTTTATTATTATTTTTTTCAATTATATATTCTCTCGATAAAATAATATACACTTGAATCTATATTTTTCCTCACAGATAAACAGAAGCTTGTAAGTAGACAACAAATTGTCAAGGATCCAGTGGGAGACCAAAAATGAAAAGGAATAAAACAATATAAATTAGCATTCTTCTGTTGATATTTCGAAAATATTTTTATCCATTCTCCTTGCTTTCTTTATTTTTAATTTTTGGTACCCCACCCCAGCAACTTGTACCTTCTTAGTCCTTCATATCTCCCCAGGTAGATTTAGGGTTCCGGTTCAATCGAGGTAAGATTCAGGTCCTCTTAATTGTAATTCATTATTATCTTTTAAGGTTTAAAACTTAAATTGTGTTGAAATATTATTAAAAATAATACTGAATACAATACAAACGAGGACATCTCCCCTAGACATTTGAATTTTGAAGTGTATATATATATATATATTTTTATTATTATTTTTTTTTTTACGGAGGAAGTTTTTTACACTAATTAGAAAAAAGAACAAAAATCAGCCGCTTCCCGATTTTCAAGCCACGTCACCTGAAATATTGACGAAATGGGCCCCTTTAACATACTCATTGATCTTCCAGCCAACATTGACCCGTCACCTGAAAATTTTCTGCTATTTATATTTCCCCGGTTAAAGCCAGTACTGTACATGCTACTCAAAACACCACTATTCACACTTTCCAAACCCTAACTAACTACGAAGTTCTGCTCCCTTTCCATATTCACACTCGTTAAATGCCGGCGAAACTGGAAATTTTCCGTTAAACTGTTGCAGGCATTGGATAATTTTTTGATTTGATATTGGTGGTGATTTTATTTCTGTTGGTAATATAAAGAGTTGCATGATTGCCGGAGATGGCGTCAGCATGCGTGAACAACTTAGGATTATCACCGGAGAGTTTTTTGGACTGTCCTCCTTCGAAATATCCTTCGTACGGGTGGCTGAGCCCAAGAATCTCTTTCAGCCATGAGGAGGAGGTAAAAGCTGCGGTAGTTAATCCTTCAACCAAAACTGAAGCCAAATCGGATAATGCAGTTGTGGAAAAGACGGAAAAATCAGATCCAGAAGTATCAGGTGAAGCTTTTGTCGATTTTGAGTTCCGATTGGAAGATCCAGTTACAATGCTCCCTGCCGACGAGTTGTTCTCCGACGGAAAGCTCATGCCATTGCAGATTTCTTCCATTCAGAAATCGATGAGATCAGCCCCAATGACATCTGAGGTCAGATCGCCGGACACGCCAATACTGCGCATCAGAACGGAGATTTCTCTTACAGATCCTTACTTATTTTCACCCAAGGCTCCCAGGTGTTCGAGCCGCTGGAAAGAGCTTCTAGGCCTGAAAAAGCTCTACCAGAACAGCAATGCAAAGCCAGAAGATCAAAAGGCGGCCTCCGCATCCAATAGTAAAAACGCCGCAAGAAGCTTAAAGCACTTACTCCACCGCAGCTCAAAATCTTCAGTGAATGCATTCATTGATTCATCTTTAAGCTTCCCATTATTGAAGGACACGGACAATGAGTCGGTCTCAATTTCCTCCCGGCTTTCGCTTTCGTCTTCTTCTTCAGGACATGAGCACGATGATCTCCCAAGACTCTCTCTCGATTCCGACGAGCCGAGTACTCTTACTCGTAGCTCTCACCGGAATACCAGCACTGTTTCCCGAGTCCGAGTTGTCAAACCTAGGGCATTATCGCCAGAGAATCCAAATACGACGACTCGAGTGGTGCGTAGCCCAATGCAAAGAGCACCGGAGTCTACTGCACAAGCGTGTGGAGTTTCTGCAGATAGTCCTCGCATGAATTCCTCTGGTAAAGTCGTGTTTAATAACTTGGAGAGAAGTTCCAGTAGTCCCAGCAGTTTCAACGGTGGCCCCAGATATAAACACCGAGGAATGGAGAGGTCTTATTCTGCTAATGTTCGTGTTACTCCGGTTCTGAATGTTCCGGTTTGTTCACTTCGAGGCTCGTCCAAATCTGGTGTTTTTGGCCTATTTTCCTCTCAACAGAAGAAAGAAAGTAGCGGTGGCAGCAGCGGCAATGGTGGTGGCAACAGAGGACAGCAAAGTCAAAGCAAAGAACCGTACGGATTGAACTCGAGAGATGGAAAGCATGTTATGCGGTAACGCTTCACGTTTCTTTTTTTTTTTTTTTCTCAATGTTGAAGCTTCGAGTTTTTGACAGTGATTGAGGATTTTCATTTGCTGTTTTACCTTGAAAAATCTTAGACTGCTTTGTATATAAAATGAGGAATTGGGAATCTCTCTCTTTTTCTTTGATTTGGGCTAACTCAAATGCTGAAACGTAATGCTAGATTTTCTCCAATGTAAAGAGTCATTAACAATTCCTTTTTTCATCGTCTTCTTTTGCTTATTTCAAATCTCTATTTCTTCTGCTTTACAAAAGTCTCTTCTTCTTTCCAATCTTGATGATTCTAGATGATATGAGAAGTGTGCGTGTGCATGTGACTGTTACCCACGCGCCACCATGCGGATCATTGTGTTATCCTCCGGTGACGCAAATTAGATGCACTGGCGTACTCTCAACTGTTTGCATTAACTGAATCTAGTTTATTTTAGTTTTTCAATTATTGAGTTTGCTTTCTATTAATTGTAAAACTTGGGAAAGGACGACCATGTTTTAATGAATTATGAATACACCACTCACTTGTATATATGCACGTCAGTCTGATCTGATTCCAACTTCTTTCTCACTGTACAGTAACATTTCCACAGATCTAATAATATGGGCATTAAATTTTTCCTCGCATTATTTGCCATTACTTGGCTAATTTTTATCATAGTAATACTGGATTCTCTAAATTGTTTGCGCTTTATTGATGGTCTAGGTGCATACAAAAATATTTTATTGAAAGGATGGATTAAAAAGTGGTTTAAGTCTGAGTTTCTTAGATTTGGTAATGAATGCAGCTCTAAATTTTTTTTAGCGTGGGACCTAATTTAGGACTAGCCTAGCTAGCCATAGAGGTGCATTAACATCTTGTACAATCGTATTTTGTTTATTAATATTTTTTTGTTCAAAAGGCAAAGGAAAGTGAAAAGGTCAAATGATAATTTTGGGGAGCATTAATCCACCAAAGTTTTCTCAAACTCTGAAAGTTAAATTAAAATTTTCATGTGGTAAATATTTTATAAGGTAGTCATAGAAAATTATTATTTATTTCAATTTATATAAAACAGTTCATATTCCTTTTGAAAGATTAATGATTCTTCTCTATTTGTGTGAATCATATTTATAAACAAAGTTAAATCTTAAAAATTGAAATGAACATATAATAATGAATTATTTGAATGGTTTATGTACGGATGGCAATCGAGCTTGTCAGCTCGGACTGTTCATGGTTCGACTCGAAAAAAGCTCGAGCCCGTCTTGCTCAAGGCTTGGGCTGGGGCCGAGCCCCACTTTTAGGTGCCAAGCAAAGCTCGAGTCGGTCCGTGTGGCTCATCGGCTTAGGACAACCAAGCATAAATTTAATTAAAAAAATTTAAAGGCAGCACACTGCGTGCTGATGCCAAAAAATAGTCAGCACGTTGCTACCTTGTTTAGTTGCAACCTACTGCCTTTAAAAAAAATAATAAAAAAAAAAAACCAAGACTAAACATAACTCGAGTTGGCCCGGCTTGGCTCGAGAAGCTCGGGTCGAGTCTAATTTTTTTGTCGAGCAGGGCTAAAAAAAAAAAAGCCCGAATATTTTACCCAAGATGAGTCCGAGTCTAAAATTTTAGCTCTCGAGCCGACTCGTTGACATTCTTAAGTTTATGTCCCGTGCTAATTATGGATACTTTTTTTTGATTAGCAGTGACACAATTCCAATGCAGAGTTGGATTCAAATGGGCTAACAATGAAAAAAATCACTGTACAGATGCGAGTTGGTACTCCTTGAAAGGATTGCTTCAGATCCATGTGTGATACAAGGAAAGTAAAGTAAATCTCTATCGTAAGAGTTGTTATGGAATTCAGCTGTCGGTGTCCGAGCATAATGTCCTTTATGATGTCCTTTATAATGTCCTTTATGATGTCCTTTATAATGTCCTTTATTCACTTCCAATAAAAAGGTCTCCTTGATGGTGCCTGCCTGTTAGGGATGTCAAATGGGTAAAGCTCGAGCTCGTTAAATGAGGAGCTCGAGCACAGGTTGAATCAAACAAGCCGACTCGGCTCATTGAGCTCGTGCCCACGAGCCAAAAGTCGTGGACTCGTAGAAAATGTGAACAAAAGTTTGAAAATTTTCAAAAAAAAAAAATAATAAAAAAATTAGAGCTTGTGGGCTCGGCCCATGAGCTCGTGGGTCGAGCTGAGCTCCCCCTTGAGCGCGAGCCAAGCTTGAGCTTGTGTATTTAAGGGCCGAGCCGAGCTACCTCTACTGTCTGTTGCCACTTTTGATTACACGTTGGACCGCACTTGCGTATATTTTGTGTTTGAGCCACATTATTTAAAAAAAAAATGTATTTTGAAATAATAGATTGAGGGAAAATGTGTGATTAAAAATTAAGAAAAAATTTTGAATTTACGTATAATATTATTTTATTGAATAATTTGTGGTTGAAAAATGTCAAATTAATGTTTAAAATGTAATTTTTCCAAATAATATGGTTCAAAGAGGACCTTTCTCCATTAAATTCCTCATCTTGACCGTCGGAATAGAATTAGTCAATGTTCTCAACTAACTCACCACATCTTTCTTGGTTTCAATTTTAGAGGGTATTTGGTGGAAATTAAAATTAGATATTTTTAGTAAATCATAATAGAAGTTTTTGGAATGTATGGTTGAAAATTTGTGGGATCCATGGAAGATGTAGTTAATATTAATTGTTTGACTTTGACTTAGGTTAAAATCAGATTTTAATACGTACCAAACGGCTTCTATTGTTATTTTGGATAATTGACTGTTAATTTGAATTATCGAAAAGAGAGGCATAATTATATTAACATTTGTGAAAGTGCAAAATTAGGCAGCATAATTATGAAATGGGAGGCACATGAAGGTCGTCAAAGAGCCTTAAATTTAGCATTAATTCTGCAATTAATTTATTGGGCTTGTTCAGTGGATTGTCCCCTTATAATAAAGAATTATAAAATGTGGGGATCCTGGAATCCGGCATTGGTATTAGAACGTGCCCGTGAACTGTCAATTCTCTGATCAGATTCCCAAATTGCCTGTGATCTTATCGTATATGTCTCGTCACACGTACATTTTTATATGGTATTTATATACATATGCACGGGGATACACGTACAATACGCATTATTAAGTAGGGCGGCTAGGGTTGTGGTTAGGTCCGTTATGGTTTAGCTGTCTTCGAACTATTCCAACCCAAATCGTCGATTAGGTCTATAGCTGGTCAGGTCAGTGATTCCAGAGTCAAATCATCGCAAGGAGAAACAACATCCTGATGTTTTATGCTTGTTTTTGCTTCAAAATGAGTGACATTGGCATAGGTAGGTGTCTTAATTCTGTTGGGCAAATGGGGGAATGCCAAAATAAAATCTATTTATTACATATTTTTTCAATGCGGTTTGTTCATTTTTTATTTTTTCTATAGTTTTCGTGTATTGTCGAGCACCTGTGAAGAATGAAGAATTGATGTCGCATTGAGACTTATGAGCACAAACTTAGTAATGTGTTGTTTCCTCTTCAATTCTAGTCTAGCCATGTTGTGCGTGGTCGACCAACTCGATAACAACGCTTGTTTGATCTATCTTGCCACATCAGACAATTGAATTTTACTGAGATTCATCCAAGTTGCCCTGCATCAACATAAACAATTATAGTATAGAGTACTGCTGGCTATAAAGCCTATAGCCCAATCTATGTTTTGTCGTATTCTTCATCTTGTCCATTTCTACTTCAACCGGGCTTTGACGTACAGCTCTACATGCCCATGTGATTCAAAATGAATATATTTTTTTTCCTCCTCTAACATGGATTCTCTGCCGTCCATTTCATGACACTGTTCCAGCACACCAACGGTTGCGATTACTGGGAACAATTTCAAATCTGCAACGTCTCGATTCATAGTTCTGAATTCATGACACTGTTTATGTATCTATTTATGTTAACGTACTGTTGTTTTATATGCAATAATGCTTGGTGTCACATACAATTGGACAAATTTTTATTTATTTATTTATTTTTTATAAGTGTTTTCACCAACCAATCAAATATTGACATCAAAGATGATGTCAACCATGATGTACAAATAACTTTACTCTTTTATAGGTGGGAGTCGCCTCCTGGAACGATTGAACTCTGGTGGTGTTAATGGCTCGAAAATGGTGGGAATAGTCAACCCTTTGACAGCCGTGGTCCATTTACTAGACACACAAAGATATGTTTGAAACACAAAATTAACAAAATCAAATAAATTATATATAGAGTAAAACTTATCATTCCGTTTGTCTCATCCATTACAGTAATTATGCCTTGACTTCAAAGTAAGTTCCTCGTGATAAATCTCATTAATAAGATGGTTAGGAAATTTTATTTAGCATTTGTTTGATTTTTGATTATTTGAGAATTAATTAATTTTTTTTTTCAAACTCATTTTCAATCACACGTTTTATCATAATTTTTTCTTAATTTTTAAATATACATTCATAAAAGAAAAACATTTCCCAAAGAACAGCTTCTAAAAAAATATTTATTAAATTAAAAAGATGCTTAATTTAATTTGTTGGCCTTGGATATTATCTCTCCCTAGCAAGATAAGTATTATGCTACTTGACTTTCGGTCCGGTGATTAGGTGTCTATTGATATCTTTACCTACCAAGTTATTCCGTCAGATTTGATTGCATTGAATTATCCAATGTGTTGAAGGCCCAAATAATAGGTGCAAAAAGTGATTTTTTTTTTTTCTTGAATCAACATTAGGAGGCTGTTTGGGAGTGATTTTGAGAATTGATTTTTTTATCGTTAGAAGAAAAATGGGGTCCACTCGTGAGAGAAAAAGTCAAATATGATGACTGAAATAGTGAAATAACGGTTAAAAAATCAATTTTTTGGGTGAAAAAATCAGGCCCAAACAGGCCGTAGTAGTCTCAAAGTTTTAGTTTCAAATTCTTAATCTTAAAGGGGGGAAAAAA